CGAACAATTACTTTTTGGCAATTGGTAAATTTTTACATATGAATTTACTTACACGTTATTTACTGCCAAAAATTTCATTTATTGCGAGTAATTAAATAATGAACGTATGTTAATATTCAGCTACATGTCTCTCAAATTAAGTGAAATACAAAAGTTTTATTTTCTTGAAAATTAGTGTCAAAGCATGCAGCAACTGGTCAGATTAGTTTCGTAAATAAATCGAAACCCTGTATCGGCACATTGTTTTTTATGCTATCAAATATCACACGGAATCTTTTAGGAAGTAGTAAAATCTTTTACACAAATACAATGAAATACTTTTAGGTACCCAGTTTAGGGCTATGAAATTAGAATGTTCAAGAAGAGGTAAAAAAGTTTCATATTTGCAATTATTTTGTGAAATGAATAATAAATAAGGGTCTTAAGGATTTATACTGGAGAGCTAAATCTTTAAAAGGAACATGTCTGGGTTAGGTTGATGATATTTATTTGGGGAATATGAACATCATAAATAAACGAGAGCGGTAGAGCGAGTTGCGGTATTGGTGCTCTCCGTCGGTGTCGACGCGTACCGAACGAGGCCGAAGATGGTCGGAGCGGGCGAAAGGGAGAGAGCGGCAGCGATAGAGCAAGCCGCAGTATCGGTGCTCTCCGTTGGTGTCAACGCGTGCTGAGGAATTTCAGTGGTCTATGAGGGGAGGTGTGCGAGCGAGAGAGTACGGTAGAGCGTGCCGCGGTATCGGTGCTCTCCGTCGGTCCAACGCACTAGTGACGTTGCGTCACACAGTTTATTGACCTAGCCGTGTACGCCGTGTACCATTTTTTTTTATTTTTTTTTTTTTTACGCGGGGGAAATGCCTTATGCACACCCCGGAGTCCTGGGGTGGGACTTCGAGGTAGTGTGGGACTCGCACCCACTAAAAACCCCGCGTCAGCTTTCTCGGGCGGAACTCTGCGGTGACGGGATCTCGTATGAACGCACCGCCACCGCCGCGCCTGTGCTCCCCTTATCGGGGAGCCCGTTCCGTGGGGGCGATCGAACGCCCCCCAGAGGTGACCGATACCCCGGTTACCCCCCCTTCTCTACTCCGCCAGCGTCAGAAGACTGCGCTCCGACGCCAGCACTACCGGGCCGCTTTGGATGCAGTCGGGGACCCCACCCCGACTGCATCGGCGGCCCCGACAGACGCGTGCGCGAAGGCGGGAGCCACAGGAGCCGAAGCTCCGGCTCCCGATGTCTACGCACGCGTCCGCCCATACACGCAGGCCTCACCTGCCGGGGAGCAAGGAGACGCCTACGGGGGGGGACCTGCCCCCACCTCCGCCGGCGTCGTCGGGGCCGCTTGAGCGGGCCCCACGGCCCCGCCCATGACCCCGCCACACTCTCCTCCTCTCTCGACGAGCGGGATCGCGAGCCTCGCGGTCCCGCTCGTCGTCCTCCTTCTGCGAGACGACGGTCTCGCAGCAGGAGGACACCGCTCTCCACGACCTCTCGCTCCTCACCATGGCCGCAACCACCATATCGCTAAACGGAGTGCCCGCCTCTCCCTGGCAATGGCCGAGCACTCCTCCAACACGTGCTGCGCGGAGTCCAGCTCCGTATCGACATGCCCCTCGACAGGCGGGCAGCGAGCACGCGCTCGAAGAGTTTGCCCGCCACGTCGAGGAGGCATATCGGCCGGTACGCGGAAGGAGAGTCCGCGGGCTTTCCTTTCTTGGGGACGAGAACCATCCGCCCCCGCTTCCAGGGAAGCGGGACCCGCCCCGACATCATGCAGCCGTCAAACAGCCACATGAGTCGGGGCCCGAGGACGCGTAAGGCCAAACCCAGCGCCCGCCCGGGGACGCCGTCAGGCCCCGGGGCCTTATTGGCCCCGAGGGTACGCCGTGTACCATAGCCGTACCTGGCTGTACCATCCGGTGTTTGGGTCGTTCAAGGAAGGTCGTTCAAGCCGGCAAAAACAATTCAACACGAACAAACTTGCGTACGCCCAATACATAACGGCGTTAGCTTCCTCACTTTCTCGTGAGCCGTCGCGGAGGGTGGGCGCACGTCTCATACTCGTCGTTTCTCTTGTTACTAACCCATTGTTTGTTGCAGGCATTCGACAACCATCAATTTATTTCCAGTGCATATTGTGGTGTCCCCTCTCTTGTTACTAATCCCTTGTATGTTACAGATGTTCGAGAACCATTGGCTTCGATATTTATCTTCTTATGTACTGTGATTTATTTACTGTGATTTATTTACTGTGCATATTATGTATTCTATGTGTATTGTATAATGAAAAATATTTTTCCAAACAGTTAGTCCATCGAAAGAAGACATCGATCAACGTCTACATCCTCGAAGCGTCTATCACTGCGTTAAGTTACTGGAAGTTAAACTTAAATCATAATTCGATATTCATTGTTACATTCATTTTCATCATCACATCGTTTATTATTAATTTTAGTCTATCTATTAATAGACTTAAATTGTGACCATCCATTGTGCATACCAAGTTATTATTAATTCATTTTGCTCGTTGATTCTCTACACAGACTTGGGGTACGGGCAGTGGGTCTGTACCTAGGGTACGGGCAGTGGGTCTGTACACTAAGACTGTTTGCCGATCCCTCTGGTTTCTATTGAGAAGCCAGATATCGGACGTGTTTAGTCTTTGCCTGGTAAGTAGGATTTGGAGAAAGACTCGTGCGTGCCAGGGTACGGAGTAGTCGGGAGGCTGCTCCGTAAACGGACTCTGTTTAACAGAGAATCTCGCTTGCACTACCATGCTTGTGTACTCTTTTGGTTCGGGTCTGGTACGCAGGTGACCAGCCCAAAGCTCCATGACAGTAAAAGATGGATCCGGGTTAGCGAGGTGTCGCCCGTCTTTCCTATTTTCTTAAACCAGGTTCTGGCGACAACACTTGCATCGCGATACTTGTTCATACTGTAGTTTAACGTGGTTCATCGTAGACTTAATATCTGCTTGGTATATAGAATATTAGGTGCAAAATGATCGATGGAACTTTTTCCATTCCGTCTATCTCTTTCGTTTGAGTATTAGCGACTACGTTGCGTTTAGTTTAAGTTATTTTGTATTAATAGCATTAATTCGTATTAATTAGAATATTAAGATAATATTAGTTCTAAGCTGAAGAACGAAGACAACCGACGAGGGAACTTAGTTTTTTATAGGTTTAGGCTCAAGAAAGAAGTCATCCGCCGAGGGATTTAGGTACCGATAGTATTACATAGTTAAGATTTAAGTTATTTATAAGGTATATCGTGAAAGGTGGGAAGATGTAGAACTTGTGATTCCATCTACCTGCCTTG